TCTCATCGTTATCTAAGTCCATGCATACCATCTCTATGTACTGCAAAGGTCAATTATTATAGATCCTGTGCCGACCAATGTGAAAGAAGTATGTGTTTCTCCATCTTGCTTTCTATCCAATCACAGAGATCTCCCCGTTTTGCTTCCTCCCACCTCCCTAATCTACCACCAATGGATTTCATGTAACCACCTTACGTCTTCTCCTTTGATTCTAAAGTATAAAATAAGCTGCAAAACTCCCGTTCTCCACAGCATTTTCTCAATTCGTTGAGATTTTGCTTCCTGGCAATTGTCATCATTTTGGCTCAAACAAACTCATAAAAATTCTCTACAGGTAGGTTTGTTATGTTTCTTATACTGACACTCATAGATTTGTGAGAGTTCTTTCAATATTTTAGATATTTATTATAGTTCACTTACATGTATTGCACATTTTTCTTCTATCTCTTACATTTTGCTTTTTAGTGGTTTTAAATCTTTCATTTAATTAACTTGAACTTAATCTTTTTCTCCATGCTTGAGCTTTTTGTATCTTATTTGAGAAATCCTACAATAATCCTTCAAAAGATTTTTTTTTTAACCGTTTATTTTCACTATATCAAATTCAAATTCAGTATCCTTGAAAGAGTAAAATGTTTGTGTAGAAAGTGTATGGAATTTGGTTTTAATGTGTTGAAGCTCATTTTAATGTCTGGGATGTAGAATTCAAAATTTATCATCTTTTTTTAAGAAAGTATTTTATTTATTTTTAGAGAGAGGAGAAGGGAGGAAGAAAGGGAGGGAAAGAAACATTGATGTGTGAGAGAAACATTTATCGGTTGCCTCTCATATGTGCCCCAACCATGGACCAACCAAACCTGCAACACAGGCATGTGCCCTGATGGGAACTGAACCAGCAACTAAAGATTTTCTTCATTTATTTTTAGAGGGGAAGGAAGGGAGAGAAATATCAATGTATGGTTGCCTCTTGTATGTCCCCTGCTGGGAACTGGCCTGCAACCCAGGCATGTGCCCTGACTGGGAATCAGACTGTGACCCTTTAGTTCCTAGGCCCACACTCAATCCACTGAGCTACTACACCAGCCAGGGCTTGAACCAGCAACCTTTTACTTTGCCATATGATGCCCAACCAACTGGCAAACACCGGTTAGGGCTGATTTTTTACCTTTAAAATTTTATCAGTCCCAATTCATTGGCTCTCAGACTTTTCTGACATTGCTTCAGTTTTTCAGTCTCTGAAATACACATATACATACATGCATACATACAAATTCTTTCCTCTACCAAATTTCCATTTATTCCATCTTTGAGTTCCCAAAAGGGCTTTCTCACTTAGATTTATTATGTTTCTAAAGATTGCTCACACAGCTTTTTTCTTTTTAGTGTAAGTAGGTGGTGCGTTATCAACTCTACTCCACCCATGATCTGCATTTCTTAATTAAACAGAGAAAAGAAAAGCTTTAGGGAAATGTTCTCAAGGAATAAAGGATTGGTCATCAAAGAATTTTAAAGAATTTTTACTGCAACTGAAGTTCATTCAGGGTTTAATTTGAATTTGTTTCCTATAATTAAATTAAGAAAGAATGCATGGGTGTTACACTAAAACATTTCCATACTATGTGTAGTATTATGAAGACAAGATATTCGAACCAAATGATCACAGTTTGATTCCCAGTCAGGGCACATGCCTGGGTTGCAGGCCAGTTCCCAGCAGGGGACACAGGAGAGGCAACCATACATTGATATTTCTCTCCCTCTCTCCTTCCCTTCCCCTCTAAAGATAAATAAATAAAATCTTAAAAAAAAACGAAGGCAAGATATTAATACAGTATTTATATTACAAGATAAAGAAGAAATGAGGGGGAATTGATAGATTAAGATAGATGAAAAGAGTTTTATGGTTACATGAGCTGGTTCACTTTGTGAAAATTTATTGGATTGACCACTTCCATTAAGTTTTATATTTATGCACTTTTCTTTGTGCATATTCCACTCCAATAAAAAGTTTTTAAAAAGAGACAAGAGATCAACCTAATGCATGTATGAATCCTGACTCCAGTAAAAAGAGGTTTTACTTGTAAACCTTTATTTGTATTTGAGGAAATCTGATTCTGATGAAATTAGGAATTATTATTTTAAGGGTAATAGTGGTGCAGTAATGATTTTTTGTTTTAGCCCTTATGTTTTAGAAATACAGTTAAATAATTAATGGATGCAATGAGCTGTAATCTGGGATCGGTTTCATAATGATCTAGTGAGGTGAAGGAAATAATGGGGAAAAATTGGTCGTGTGTTTATGCTTGCCGAAGCTGGGTGGTGGATGCGCTGGAGTTTTCTACATGTTTGTATGTTTGAGTTTTCTACAATGTGATTAAAGTGCAAACACACATATCCATTTGTCGTGCAAATAACTTTTCACCCTTACTCATACTGTTTTTTAAATTTTTTTAATAGAATTTTTTCCATTACTATTTAGTCCCCTTATAAGTTCCCCCCACCCACCCAATCACCACCCTGTTGTCCGTGTCAATGAGTCCTTTTTCCTTTTTTTGCTCAGTCCTTGCACCCTCTAATCTCCCTGAACCCCTTACCTGTCATCCTGTTCTCTATGAGTCTGTTGTTTTCTTAATTCACAGTCATTTGGAGGAGAAAAAGTCTTTTGGAAATTTTTCATTACTCTGTTTAGACACAGGATGGCACTCTTTGAATAAGTAATTAGCCAAAGTCCACTTCTCACAGGGTAAGTTCCTTTCTTTTGCAGTGTTGCCACTTCTTAGAGCAGTCTGTCTTAGGTGAGGCTGAAACTTTTTCAGATAGCTTAGCAGATGATTACTACTCATTCCTTAATGTTAGTTTTCTGTGAGGACTATGTTTATCTACTACCAGTTTCTGAAAAATAAGGACAAGTGTCACCACAATTTAAAGGATGGTTTGATGCAAAAACAGCTCTGTGCCCACTCTTTTTTTGGCGTTCACAATTGTTACTAGGAGATCAGAAACCTTATGTATGTGAATGCAAGCATCTGTATTTCCGTATGAATCGTCTTCATTTAAAACTGTGAGTGCCAACCACAGGACGTATTTCTGTGTTTCTGCGTTTTAAATGGAATTGAGCCGAATACTACTGATTTAAGATCAAGATGAGGACTATTGACTGTGGACATATGCTTTCCCCTTTCAACCCTCAAAAAAGAATGGAAATAACTGTATTCTTGGACGTTCTCAGTCTGATTCATACCTTCTTTTAGCCAACTCTTCATGTATTCACCAGAAGAATTACACCTACTACCTCCGGTGTAGGAGAAAAAAAAATCAAATGAGCAATAATGTTAGCAGAAGCTTGAAACTTAAGAGCCCATTTACAGAAAGGTCCTCCTCCCCACCCTCTTCCCTCCGGTCCAATTCCCACTTCTGGTTCTGGCCATCGGAAATTGACTTGGCGTTAACTACCGACTAGGATTTCAAGGCGTCAATTCCCCCGCCCCCACCCCCAACCTTGGAAACTCTTAAACCTCTTCCTAGTCTACACTCCATGGTAGAGACAGATAAATGAAGCAGCAGATTCCACCGCTGAAAGACAACATTTGTCCTGAGCTATTTTCACATTTTTTTTCATGTTTCCGATTGGTGTGCCAGATTTTGTTTGCTTACCTAGGACCTGGAAAACATATTTGGGCATTTCCCCCCCAGTTTTGTGCCAGTGGCTTTCTCCCAGCAAATGAAAGTGAAAGTGCTACGTTGTAGTGGTGTTTTATCCTCAAAGTATGAACTGGCTTCTGGTGTGTATGGGATGGGGGTGGGGGGGGTTGGGAGGCTCGAAGAGCCAGTTTTGAGGTTTTGTTTGTTTATCTTGAGATCACAGCAGGGTTCCTGTCCCCTCCACCCTTTTGGGGGGTCTGACTTCGGATTTGTTTTCTTTTGGGCAGTCATTGAGGTTTCATTCAATGTACTGAGTTAAAAAAAAATACACTCCACTTGTAGCTTTCCCGGTTGCGCTTTAAAACACCATCCAGTCTCACCCTCATCTGGAAATAATGCAAGCTTCTCTCTCTTCCCCCGCTCCCTCCTCCGCCCCCCTTTTTTCCTTTTAAAGCCCCACATAACCTGAAGTCAATAATCTGATGGAAAATATGCTGGTCTTAGTTTACTTTAGTCTACTCTCTCTTTTGGTGGCAATTTTACTTGTAGAGGTGTATTTTAAAAGCAGGCATTTGGTGCACATGTAGCTACCCAGTCTTGAAATCTGTCACCGATGTAAACTTGCTGTAAGTTTCTTCAGAGACACTGTTTTATATGCAACTTTTAATATTTTTGTTGTGTGCACTTAAAAAAAGGCACCAGGAGAAGGACACCAGAGATCTTAACAGTGACATTAGTTCATCTAAAGTCATTCATCCTCCCCCTCCCCCTTCCTTTTTCCAAGAAACAACTAATCACAACCCAGGCTAGAATTTCTAAAAGAGGTTAGAGGAGGAGGAAAAGAGGCGGAGTTGGATAGGGGATTGAGGTTAGAAGGGCCAGAATTTCTCTCATTCACAGGGTGGAAAAGTTGACATTGTCTAAGCCCTTCTGAATGGCTGGTAGTTGGTTACCCCGATTGTACCTCTACCTCCCCTCCCCCTCCACGTGACGACCCAGGACACATGCGCACCCGACGCCCGGCACATCTGCAGAACTGACGTCAGTGCTCTGCCTCCGAGGAAAGGCTGCCAAATTTTCTGCTGCAATTCAAGTTGGCTGGGGGCCGGTAGTGAGATCTAGGGCTACTTCAACAAAACTTGCTGCCCTTCCTGCTCCTCTTGTCTTCTTTTCTCCTGATACCTTTTGATGCTCTTCACATGTGATTTGCATAGCAAAGGCACTAAGCTGTCCAGGAAGAAAGGGCACCACTTCCACCCCCAATAAGTCTTTTTTTTTTTTTCCCTTCCTTTCTTTTTTTCTTTTCCTTTCCTTTTTTTTTTTTTTTTTTTTTTTTTTTTTTTTTTTTTGGAGGTAGGGGGGTGGGAGCAAAAGGGGGTTTGCAAAGGCAGCATCTCAGGATGGTAGCCTGGTTGTATTGAAGGCATCTCTTTTTCTGCCAAATCGGAAAGTCCGTTCTCTCAAGCCCGGGTTAGCCAGACTATAGGGTTTTATTCTGGCTGCAGAATAACTAACTGACTGCTGTGGCTTTGCAAAGGGGGGCAGGAAAAAAAAAGTTTAGGAGAGGGAGTACGTGAGTCGTCCAGTGCAATCTCTATTGTTTGAAACTTACTTTTTATCAGAATTTGAAGATGAAAACGGTAAGGAAGACTTCACAATATTCAATGAAACCGTTTTTAAAAAAAATATTAAAACTTGTGCTTTGCTTGTCTTCCGAATAACACGTAGAAAACTTTTTTCTGTGTGTGTGTGTGTTTAATGGCAATGAGTGAGCTTGACTGAACTCATTTTACAGATAGAAATCTTTTTAACTCCAGACTAGTCGGGGATTGGAGAATTCTGGGTCTTGCAAGTATATTATGATGCAAAAATATATGTTTATTATATGGATAGATGTTTTGTGAAGTATGACTTGATTATAATTATTGTGGTCTTTGAACTCATCACCAAATAGTAATCGGGAAACTAATAATGATATGTATTTTAAACTGATTTCCAGCTTTCTTAAAGAAAAACCTTCTGCATTTTATGGTTTCATGTCAGCGTCTTAAGAATTCAGACAAGTGCATAGTTTATGCCTGGGCTCAGATGGCAGAATTAATGTGCTCGTTGTAGCCCCGATGCTCTAGGATATGTTAAGCTCTTAATAGGCTAATCAAAGAGATGGAAGCGTGTGTTTTTGATTTACTTTTGGCCACTTGGGACGTGCTAGACTCATAACCCTCCGGAGCCTTGAATATCGGGGTATGTCTGTATATATAGTACATGGGATCAAAGTTCAGGGATTTGGGGGGGGCGGTGGAGTGCGTGCTGGAGGGGTTATTGGAAAGTGGCCTTCTGATAATGTGTACTACAATTCCTGTCTTTGGTAATTTCTTTCCTTGTTGTACTAGAAGAAAAGAGAGCGAGAGAGTGAGAAAGCGCACTGAGAGGGAACAAGAGAGTGAGTTTCTTACTCTTGTTTTTATTTGAGCTGCCGGTGCAACGCGTTTGGGCCAAATGCCAACTGTCTGGGTCACACGCGTTTTATCCAAATAGATTTAGCGCTGCTGTCTGGAAATGGGCTGCTGAATGTTAACTTCAGGATCAACTCAACCGGGGCAGCTCAGACTGTTACCCTCTGTCTGGGAGAAGTGGGATGGGGGGAGCGTGAGGGTGTGCAGAACTGGGGGAGGGAGGGGAGGGAAGGGGAAACTGAACCACTGCTTGGAACTTTAAAAAAGACACTGGAGTGTGATTTTCAACCTAATCTTTTATGTTTAAATATCTTGGACTAATTTTCTTTCTTTTGTGTTTCCTTCTCTTTTTTCGCGGTGTTGATTAGATGGAAACTTAGATGTGGGAATGACAGTTCTAAAAATTCATTGCAGGGAAAGAAATGTAAAATAAAAGTCGAGTAGTTGAAGGAAATTGGGAAAAATAATTTTGGAAATAATTGTTTTCCTGTGTTCCACCAAAGTGGTAACTGCAATTCTGGTTTGTATTAATTTAGTGCTTAAATGTGATCATTGGTTTTTTGAATTTTTGAAGCAAAGAGTATAGAAGCAAGTAGTTGATTTCAAACAAATTCATTCATTTTGCCACAAATGACAGCAAATTAAATCTATGTTGTGGTATTAATATTTTTGTGATTTTTCAAGGAAAAAAATCTCTAACCTCAAGACCTGAATTATTTTAATACCTTTCATGTCTGGGCCAATATGTGTGAGATTAATTCCTACTCGTGTCTACCCTTACCACTTCCTCTTCATTTCCTTAGCAACCACTAGTAGCTACTAGTGGTTTAGGATGGATCTCTGTGCCAAATCCTATCCCGTGTGTGACTTTTGTGAGAGAATAAAGAAAGTTAACATATTAAGAGAGTTAATAGCAAGTTCTATAGAACATTTCTGAGGGGGGTGGGAACAGAAGATAACTTGAAAGAGGTTGATAGGACATAGTTGATTATCAACATTTTGAACTAACCTCTAGAGAAAAAGGTGTTCGTTTTTCAGGAGAGAAGTTATAATACAGATAATGCACACCTGACTTGCTCTCTGGAAAAAAAAAACAGTTTGGGACAATATGTAGTTTAGGGCTTGATTTTGGTAGACTGTTCTTTTGCTGGTGGCTCATTTGCTTTTCTTGATAGATAAGCTTTCAGAATGTTTAATTATACCTTTCCTTGGAAACCAATCTTACAAAGTTTATAAATGATCTGGAAACCTTTGTACTTACAGCCCGGTGGTGTCCTTGGCATATAGTGTGTGACAATAAATATTTATTGAGAGAAGATAAATAACCAGGGTTAAGACGGATGAAAGAAGTTGAGAAGGATGTTATACATGTTCTTCTGGCTTCATAATAGTGGTTCAGGAGAGGAAATCATTACCTTGGTTACTCCCAGATCACTTGAGTGGGAAGTCAAGATGATGGAGGAAAAAGACAAGTTAAGTACCCATCAACCAGGGCAGACTACTGATGGAATGACTGCAGTGCGGGTTGTCCGGTCTTATTTCTGTTTAGCTGGTATAGCTTTGATCTGTGGAAACAGGTAAATGATCCCTTAACTTTATTGGCTGGTGCATTTGTGTTAGGAAAAAAGCATATATGAAGTCAAAGTAAAATGAAAGTTTTGAGCCTCGTTTTTACATTTAAAGTATTGTAAGCCCAGTTATCATGAACTAAATTCTTGACTGTTTGCTCTAAAAGACAGTGCAATGTAGTTGATTGATTCTATCATCATTTCCAACTAGTTTACATTTTTGAGGGAAGAAGAAACATAAAACTATTTTTGAAGGAAGGCTTTTGAAAAGTGATGAGTCAGATTACGAGGAGGGGGGGGCTAATATTTGTTTAGCCATTAAAGTGAAGTGTGGGGACACTTCCCATCATGTGTAATCTAATTTAATCTCTCAACAAGTCTTTGTAAGGTAGTTATCGTTATCACAGTTTTGTAGATGAAGAAACAGATCCAGAGAGTTTAAATAACTTGGACTCCAGCCAGGACTCAAAGCCTTTGCGATTTTTGGTAATAATGCTTCTGCTATATAAAAAGTAAAGAGTTAATGCCTTATGATTTCTGGACAATTATGTAATATTTTAGTGTTGTCTAAATTTTGGAAACTATGTCTGGAAATGTCAGTGCCTCTACATAGCTGTTGATGATATGCAGATTAAGCTCTCCAGCAGGTTTCAAAAAGTAAGTTAACCCATTCATTTAAAAAATTTTCTTTTAACTGTTTAGATTACCCATTTTATTGGCAGGAAAAAATCCAATAAGAAACTTGGCACACTGATTTTCATCTGCTAAAGTGTTATCACCTGGTACATAATAATAGTTAAGTAGGGAGAATAGTAGGGAAAGTCAAGAAAGGAAATCAAGAGCCTGACAGAGGCCTTATTTCCATACTTAGGCCCTCGGAAGGCTTTATCCTGAGAATAGCAGAGCGCTCTTGAAGGTTAGTGAGCAGGAGAGGGTCACTGTCACTTTGAAGGCCAGTGTCAGGGGAGGATTGCTCAACCCCTGATCAACACTTAAACCCTAGGCACCTCCATTCCTGAGGTTAGTGGCTCCCATGTAATATTTGTAATACTTAAGCTGTCAGGCACATGGGGGCAGAGAGTGTCCAAAGACTGGGACTCAGAGGTTGAAGTGATTCCTGATATCTTCCATCCCCAGCCTGCCAGTCCCAGGCTGAAAGTGATTATCCTCAGTGAAGCCATCATCATCTTTATCTTCAGTCACCTATGTACAGATCCCCCCTTCCTTGTCTCAGGCTGCAGGTGGTGCTCATAGCTGGTGTGTGTTTGTAGCAGAGGTGGCATTTGGCAGCAAATGCAATGAGGACAGAAAGGACCACCCCCAGCACAACCCTCACCAGCACAGGCCATGCCTGGGCCCTGGTGCCTGGTCAAGGGGCCATGGCCAGTGCCGTGGGGAGCTCTGAGGGCCCCGAAATGACGGTTTGTCTCAGCCATGGAGTGGCTGGAAGACACTTGTGATCCTCAGCCTTGTCCAGAAGAGCCCTGCCTCCAAAGAGATCCCCAGGTGCCAGGCAGCCCTGGGACAGGGAGTCCTGTGGGAGGACAAACTAGGGCTGGCGATTATCTTCATGCGGAGCATCTGAGTAGAGGAATGCCTGGGAGGAGGGTCCAGGCTAGGAAAGCATCCTGATTTGTAGCTCCTTCCCCAGAGCCCTCAGGGATTGGTAGGTTTCTCCTCCCAGTCCCCTACCCCATCCATTTCTATTGTGAGGTGACTAAGTGGTTAGATATGGTTGTTGTCGATATTAGTTGAACTTGAGCCAGCCAACCCATACACTTGCTGTTAAGTTTCTTCACTGGTGTTGGAGGCTTGAAAAAAAGTGGGGAGTGAGGGCTTGGGTGAGAAAGGAGAAACAAAGCCACATTTATTGAGTGCCCATGTGCCAGATACTTGTAGCTAGTGGTGGAACCAATACTGTTGCTCTGGTTTGTTTAACCTCAAAGCTCCTGCTCTTTCTGCCATGCACTGGTACCCTTTTTACTTCAAGTCCTTAAATCAAATGTTAGTCTACTTCTGGCCAAATAGTTACATATTACTTTTTACTGGGTTACTACTGGGTTGCTACTGGGTTACTTAACATGGGTGTTTATAAGACAGTGTTAGTAATGGTAAGAGTGAAGGTTACAAAAATGTGAAGAGTAAGAAGTTTCTCAAGGGGGAAAGGAGTCAACTGTAAGAACTGTAAGAACCAGCCAACTATATTGCTTGTTATTAGTTTGTATAAGTTTGCTATTAGTTTCAGAGCCCAGGAAAATAGGGGAGAAATGGATGAGTAATTCGGTACAAATCTATCACCAGGGCTAGAAAATTAACTGAAATTTGTTATTTATATATTCCTTTTTAAAAGATTACTTTAAAATATTGGAGGCACTCCCTTAATGAGAGACATTAGTATGGAAACACTCAATTGGTCTGAAAAAGTAGCTCACTCGGTTAGAGCGTCATCTGGATATGCCAAGGTTGCAGGTTTGATCTCGAGTCAGGGCACATACATAAATCAACCAATGAATGCATCAGTTAGTAGAACAACAAATTGATGTTTCCCTCTTTCTCCTTTCTTCTCTCTATAAAATCAATCAAAAATTATTCATGGGAAGGGGATTACACAAGGGCCTGGATACCAGGAAACAGGATTATTAGAGTCTGCCTCACACAGGGCCACTAATACCTACTTCATAAGGTGGTTGTGCATATTCAAAGAAGTGACATATATTTACAGTTCTTTGTTTTTGGTCTCACCCTCAACTACCTTTCTAGATATTACCTGTTAGTCTTCTGCATAGGAGAAGACTATGACTAATATTGTTTTCCACTTTTTCTTACCAGTTAGATTTGGTGGAATCTAATTCTTTAATTTGTAACGATAGCCCTGGCAATGTGACTTGTGAAAATCCTTGAATCTTCTAGGGCCTGTCACCAATGCTACTTTTTTGATAAGCTTTCCTGGATTCATCCTTCTCTGATTCAGCGGTCATCTCCTCGTCTGATCCGGACATCTGATCTGTCAGGACATCATCATGGCATCTGTCAGCCTGCCTTGAATTTTTCCTTTGTGACTTAGATTATGAGCAATGGTTATGGCAGCCTTTTCTGTATCCCATGTTGCTCATCGTAAAAGCATAGTAAGACAATATTTGTTGATTAATGAATTAGTTTTCCCAAGGTCTAGTAGTTTAATAACTCGTAGAGACAGGCCTAAAGAATTTTAAATGGTTGTGGTTGTTTTATGTGTTGTAATAATTGATATTTCTAGCATGTGAGGGAATAAAGTATAGTTTAATTTAATTTTAAAATTACTACAAATATTCTTTTAAGTGTTTAAAGTCGTTTTATTTTAACTATTTATTCATTCATTTGCTCTTTCATTTTTTCAACCAACAAATATGTAAGCATTTATTATGATAATCCCATATATCATGAGATGAAAATGTCTAAAATCTTTTGTGTACTTTTTTACCTGGTGAAAAGGGAAGGAGAAAGAGGGAGAGAAACACCAATGTGTGGTTGCCTCTCACAAGGCCCCCACTGGGGACCTGGCCCACAACCCAGGCATGTGCCCTGACTGGGAATCAAAGTGGTGACTCTGGTTTGCAGGCCTGTGCTCAATCCACTGAGCTACACCAGCCAGGCTAGAGTAAGTTATTTTATCAAGAGCCATTTAACTTTTCATTCCTGACTCAGGCACTAGTATTTTGAGTATCAGACACTGAGCTGTAACAGTCACATGCACAGTTGGAACTAATAAACCATGTAAGTGAGGACTGTTTGCCTCTGCCTCAAACCGTATTGCTTTGGCGTTCTAAAACTACTTTTTAGGTATTTTTCTCCTTTTTTGTCACTTTTGTGATGTTAGTAAGATAGTTTCTAGTCCTTTCATTTTCTTCTAAAGTGCCCTGGGCTGGGATATCAGGCAGCCAGGTATGCTAATTTTCTGTATAAAATGTGAATTCAAAGACTCTGTGTGAGGTTGTAAGTTGAAAGGAACGCATGTGAAAAAGAGCATGAAATCTGTTGTGATGCCTGAAATGAATTTTTAAAGATTTCATTTTTCAGAAAATGAAATTTTTTTCCTTTCAGTTCGATTCTAGATAGTTGAAGTTTTATTATATGTGTAGCTTTATATGTCACCTAAGATTTCCAGGTAAAGTCAAGGGTTACAGCAGATACGGTTCAACTCTAGAAGTGTAGTTTGCATTGCTGTCTGAGTGAGCAGGCAGTGGCCAAGCGGCACTGTGTGTGGGGGGGTCTAGTCTGTAAGGAAAAATGATAGGGGCCCACAAAGCAACACATCCACCTGTAGACTTGAGTGTGCTAGGAAGCACGTGAAGAACGGGATCATATGTCGTTTAACACTTTCATAAAATAAACATTGTGAAGTTAGCCTTCTTTTTATTTTCATCAAAAGGAGATTAGTCACTGCACACCCATATTTTGTTATCTTTAGAGTTTCTTTGTTTTTCTAAATTAAATTTATGTAGAGTGACATTGGTTAGTAGAATTATATAGGTTTCAGATATATGTTTCTATAATATATCATCTGTATATGTATTGTGCGAAGTTTTTTTAAAGAAATTTTGTCTTTAGATTCTTCTTTGATTATTAAATAGCTCTGACATTATCCTGCTAAACATTTAGATTTCTAATGCTGTGTTTAGTCTTGTGAACTTTATTTAGACTATAAAGAACAACAATGGTCTAATTTAACTATATTAAGTTATTTCATAGTATATGTCCTTTGGCAAGCATTTGGCAACATAGATCTGTCCATTCAGGATATTTCACGGTTAACTTAAATTTTTTAGTTTTTCTAGGTTTGAAAAAATGGCCATACTATAGTAACTAATCAGCCTAATGCTTTGCTTATGGAAATTTTACCATCATTATTTTTTTTCATTTTGGGTTGAAAAAAATGAACCCAGATATAGAAGAAAGTACAGGATGTTCTAAAAAAGTACTTGTTAAACAATGGACAGTCTAATAACTAATCTGCTGTGGTATTGACTCTCTAGCACATAGGTAGCCCTCCAAAAAATCATCCAGTTTGCTAAATTATGGAAATTCTGTGGAAGACGTTGACCTGGATTTTGAGCCTCATCATGGCTTCATCGGAATTTCACAGTGACCACAGGCTCTCATACAGTTCACAAGGTAGGAGGAGCTGGGCTTTGGAAACGGACAAAACATACTGCTGTTAATCTGGCGAGAAAGGATTCTGCATATTTAGTTTGGGTAACCGTTTTCTTTGGGATATGTAGTGTTAGGAACTCTGGCAGTTCAGTGCTCATTTCATAAATGTCGAGGATTGTAAAAGTCTGTTTAACTTATTTTACTAATATTTAGTATCCAGTGGATTTTAGAGTTTCCGAGTCTCTTTCAGAAGATGAGAGACCCAGGTCTCTTCTTTGGGATCCTAAACTTTAGTAGGCTCATTCACTGTTGGGGTTTACAGGTAATGTTATGTTCAAGAGGAATTCAAAGATTTCTATTATGAAAGACCAAGAAGTCAGAAAAATTCAGATATGAGATTTTTCTAATATGGACCAGTAGTGAAAAAATACTTACCCTAACTTAAGAATTCTGATAGTTTAGGATTCTAGTCCTTAGATTAGAAACCGAATAAAAATGAAAGAGTTGTAAGAAGTTCAGTTTTTCAAGTTCTAACTCATAGATCCCTATTATTTTCATTCAGAGAATTGAACTTTGTATCATAAAAAAGATCTTAACAGAAAGTTACCAGGTGTGAGTGTCACTTTGTTTTCCAATCCTCATAGAATTTTTGAAAGCATACCTTTTTGGTTTCCTTCCCATGAATGTGCAGTAACAGATCGATTTGGGGTGCTTATGAACCAGATTTTCAAGGCTGCTGTAGACTGATATGTAGAAATCCACATGTACAAAATGTGGCTCTCAAAGTGGATCAACAAAGCCTTAACTTTGGTATGAACTCTTATTCATGAGCAGTGAAATGGTTTCATAAGAGTTTGAAATGGTTTCAAACCATTTGGTCATGGTTTCATAAGAGTTTATATTTGTGGGTGAACTCCATGTATAGTGAATGAGGCATCAGGGAGACATTTGGTATTTCGTAGTATTTTAGTAAAACTCACTAAAAGGAAGATGTGGTTAAAAAGGTAGATTGATGATATTTGGTACACCTAAATAAGGAAAATTTATAGTCCTATGACTTTTTGTTATTGTGATGATTTTTTAACATCTTTATTGAGATACAATAGATATACCACATAATTTACCCATTAAAGTGTAAAATTCAAATGGTTTATAGTATATTCAGAGTTGAACAACCTTGACCACAATCAATTTTAGAACATTTTCATCATCCTAAAGAGAAACCCTGTGCCCATTAATCATCACTCACAAATCCCCCCCCTAAACCATCCCACATCCCTAGCCCTAGGCAATCTCTACTTCTGTCTCTGGAGATTTGCTTATTCTGGATATTTCTGTATAAATGGAATCATATAATATATGGTCTTTTGTGCTGTTTCCTTTCACTTAGCATGTTTTTATAATGTTAGACCATGGACTTTGATTATAAAGGCAGTTATTATGAAGATTCATTCATGTCATGGCATGTTTCAGTCCTATAGTCCTTTTTATTGCAGAATTATGTGACTATATCACATTTTACTTGTTTACTCCTCACTTGATGGACATTTGGGTTATTTCTTCCTTTTGGCTGTTATGGATAATGCTGCTATTAGCATGCTGCTAGTTTTTCTGTGGATATGTGTTTTCATTTTCTTGGGTGTATACCTAGCAGTGCAATTGTTGGGGCAGATTGTAGTTCTGTGTTTAATGTTTGGAGGAATTGCTAGACTGTTTCAGAAATTGGCTAACTGATCATTTATTTAAAAGATTTTCTTCAACGCTGTAGAGATTCTATATAAAGTCTTTCGAATAACTTTCAGGACATTTTAACTGAACCAAAATCTATACTCTTTTACATATTTTTTTTGCTGTTTTAAATTTCAATATAAAATATTCATATTTCCTGTACAATTTTGCCCTTTGATTTTATGTTTTTTAAAATTAAATTTTAAACAAAAAAATAGTCTTTTAATTTTCAAATTATATTAAAATAATGTTATTTTGAGGAATGAAATAATTGAAAGCTTAATTCATCTTTAGATTTTAAGCATTTACTCTTTCATTTTTGATAACGATAACATTTTTTAGCCATAACTCATATATAATGTTGCATAGTTTTAGCCAATCTATTTGTTGTTTATATGCTACTTTGTTGTTCTGTTAAATTCTCTTTTCTTCCATGTGTTTTTTTCCTGGATTCTCTGCCTTATGATCACAAAGAGGAATTCCTGACTCATCTAGAACATTACCAGCTCACTATTCCCATAAGGGTTGACCAGAACGGAGCTTTCCTCAGCTTTACTGTGAAAAATGATAAACACAACAGGAGAAGACGGAGTATGGACCCTATCGATCCGCAGCAGGCCACATCTAATTTATTTTTTAAACTTTCAGCCTATGGCAAGCACTTTCACCTAAACTTGACTCTAAACACAGATTTTGTGTCCAAACATTTCACCGTAGAATATTGGGGGAAGGATGGACCCCAGTGGAAACACGATTTTTTAGACAACTGTCATTACACAGGATACTTGCAAGACCAACATAGTACAACTAAGGTGGCTTTAAGCAACTGTATTGGGTTGGTAAGTAGATATGATCCTTTTAAATTTCTTATGGGGAAAAATTTGCAATGTAATGTCTTCCCTCAGATTAAAAAAATACATATATATACTCGTGGGTGGTTTCAGTAGGGGAAACAACAGTCTAAATATTTTTATCTCTGCTGCTTTTGATAGTCTTTTTGATAATGTTTCCATTGATTTTCCAAAATAAGAACTATGTTTTAAAACCTATCTTATCATAGAAGAATGAATGAAACCTCAGGTTTAATTTTAAATTTAAGTTTTCCTGTCCAAGTAAGACATATTTTATGCATAAACAAAACTCACTCATTAGTTAAGAGTTTAAGATTATGTGACTTCCACCAAGATGGAGGTGTAGGTGGAAACACTGTGCCTTCTCGTATAACCAAGTTTAAAAACAACAAAGTTTTAGTAACAAAAATGCAGCCAAACCACAGAAAATTTAACTATATGGAAGTCTAACAACAACGAACCTTTCAGCCAGACTGGTAAGAGGGGTGAAGCCAGCAGCGGAGAGGGGTCAGGCAGGAAAGGTCCACCGCATTGACCCAGGTGCTCGACTCAGGTGCGCAGGCAGCTGTGGGCAGACCCTAGGTGTGGGGTAGCAATAGGCAGACCCACTGAGGGCACCAGGCGGCAGGCTGACCATGGTCATACATTTGCGTGCAGATAAACCGGTAAAGGAATGAGCAGTGAGACAGACCGCGCAGGCCCCAGCAGCAGAGAGCAGCAGAAGGGACTGCTATTGCCCCCCTTTGGCTCTACCCCCACATACAGCATCACACACAGCGACCTGGGTGGACCCGCCCTGGTGAGCACCTAAGGCGCCTCTCCTCATATGTAACAGGTGCGAACAGAGCAAACATGGCTCAAGAAGAACTCAGAGTCCCAGAGCCCATAACTCTAAGCGACCAAGAAATAGCCAAACTTTCAGATGCACAGTTTAAAACACTGGTGATCAGGATGCTCACAGAACTGGTTGATTTTGGTCACAAATTAGAGGAACACATTAGGGCTAAACTAATTGAAATGAAGGGAAATGCACAGGAAATCAATAGTGATAGAAAGGAAACTGGGACTCAAATCAATGGAGTGGACCAGAAGGAAGGAAAAAAAGACCAAACAGAAAAATATGAAGAAACAAGAAATCAAAAAATGAGGAGAGGCTAAGGAACCTCCAGGACATCTTTAAACACTCCAACATCCAAATTATAGGGGTACCAGAAGGGGAAGAGGAACAGCCATCAGTGGAAAACTTATTTGAACAAATAATAAAAGAGAACTTCCCCATTCTGGCAAAGGCAATAGACTTCCAGGAAATCCAGGAAGCTCAGAGAGTCCCAAAGAAGTTGGAACCAAGAAGGAACACACCAAGGCACATCATCATTACATTAGCCAAGATTAAAATGAAGGAGAGAATCCTAGAAGCAGCAAGAGAGAAGGGGATAGTCACCTACAAAAGAGTTTCCATCAGACTGTCAGCTGATTTCTCAAAAGAGACCTTACAGGCAAGAAGGGGCTAGAAAGAAGTATTCAAAGTCATGGAAGGCAAGGACCTACAACCAAGATTGCTCTATCCAGCTAAGCTTTCATTTAGAATGGAAGGATAGATAAAGTGCTTCTCACATAAGATCAAATTCAAAGAGTTCATCATCACCAAGCCCTTGTTATATGAAATGTTCAAGGGACTGACCTAAGAAAAAGAAGATAAAAAAGATAAACAGTGAAAGGACAGCAAACTCACAGTTATTAACAACCACACCTAAAACAAAAGTAAACTAAGAGGACAGCTAGATCAGGAGCAGAACCATAGAAATGAAGATCACATGGAGGGTTAGCAACAGGGGAGTGGGAGAAGGAGAAGGGGGAAGAAGGTACAGAAAATAAGTAGCATAGACAGTAGATAGAAAATAGATAGGGAGGAGGGTAAGAATAGTAGGGGAAATACAGTATCTAAAGAATTTGAGACACGTGTTCATGAACTAAAGGGAGGAATAGTGGGGGAGGGGGTGTGCAGGGTGGAGGGGAATGAAGGGGGGAAATAGAACAAGTGTAATGGCATAATCAATAAAATATATTTTAAAAAATAGTTTAAGATTGTGTATGTATGAGTGCATATTATTTCAGGAAACCATGACACTGATTGCCTCTTTAAGTTTCTTTCTATAATATCTTTCTCTGGTAGGCAACATAGCTTAATTATGAATGACCCACATATGGTTATAAATTCTTTTTTTAATTTATTTAATTGTTGTTCAAGTACAGTTTTTTTCTGTTTTTTACTCCAATCCCAGCCCACCCCCCTGGTTATAAATTCTTGAAGCAAAATCTTTTATACCAGTATCTCTTTATGAAATTATATTTTCCTGCATTTATCTAAAGATTGATTAAATATCTTATTTTGCTTAGAAGGTATATTTCATGAGTGTAGGGTTTATTCTGGGCATTTGATTCCATTCTAGTCTAATGGTAAATACACAGTTCAAGGTTGCAGAGCAAAGTATATTCCCTTACTTTCTCTACAGCTTTTATCCTATTCGGAGTAGTATAGATGTTTCGTTAAGGGTGGCCCTTGCTGGTGTGGCTCAGTTGGTTGGAGCGTCATCCCACACACCAAAAATCTAGCAGTTTGGTTCCCTATCAGGGCACACACCTAGGTTGCAGGTTCAATTCTCTGTTGGAGTATGATGTTTCTCTTTCACATTAGTGTTTTTTCTCTCTTTCCTTTCTTTTTTCTCTCTCTCTCAAATCAATAGACATTTTTTGAAAATTATAAAAAGTTGTATATGTAAAAGAGCTTAAACATTTTGATGCTAGAGTCATATTTTCAGTAACCATTTTTCCTTACTCCATCACACTCACATCGTATTTCTACTTCAATATAAAAACAAAGTTAGAGTTGGATTTAAATAAGTCCTAACTTTGAAAAGAGTATCAAGAACCTCACAGTTTAGGGTAACTTTCACTATAGGTATATACAAGAATGTCTAGTTGGGGTTTGAGAAATACAGCTCTGAAATTTAAAAAAGAATTTAATTCTGGGAACAAGTAATTTGAGAGTCATTAATACAAGTGTCTATGAAATTGTGAAAGATCTCGCAAACGAGATCTTGAGGCAAAAGTGACAATAAGGTTGAAAGTAGAAACTCTTCTGCACTTCAGTGGGTAGCAGAGTGCCACCTGACTGTTCTTTATCCATGGTGAGAATTTGTGTCTCTTGTTATCTTCCTCTATTTATTAACACCTTTCTTTTTAAATTTGCTTCCTAACCACACTGTGTGGTTCATACTGGCCAACTTGGTTACTTGGGTAAGGTGAGGCCTGCCATGTTTGTCCACTGAAGTTTCTATTTTCCCCTTGGCAACTGACAAGGAATTTGTGGGCAGATATTTTGAGACTGTAAATGTCTTGTTCCTCATCACACTTTTACCCACCAGTCTTCGTAACCCCTGTCTTCATTCTTATTTTATATCATTACAGTTTTAAAAAATATTTTATTTATTTATTTTTAGAGAGCGGGGAAGGGAAGTAGAAAGAATGGGAGTGAAACATCAATGTGTGGTTGCCTGTCATGTGTCCCCTATTGGGGACCTGGCCTGCAACCCTGGCATGTGCCCTGACTGGGAATCAAACCGATGACCCTTTTCTTCACAGGCCCATGCTCAGTCCACTGAGCCACACCAGCCAGGGCTCATGTTACAGTTTTAGCGAAATGAATAGGTAAACAAATTTCAAAAAATCCTAGTTTTTAAAGGCCTCTTATAACCAATTCTGTTTTTAATTATTCTATAAAAATAGTTTTTAATGTGGAGAATAGATTGGGGGTATACCATAAGTTCAGCTGTATACGTTAAATTTGAGAATGTTATATGGGATGTTGGATATGCAGAAGAGATGTGCATTATGAAGTGAAAAATTTGGGAGTCATCAATATATGGATGACAGAGTTAGGAGATTATGTGGAATTGCTTAGACGGGGAGACAGGTAGAATAAAAAAGAGGTCCGAGGGTCGAAACTTTGGGCACTCCAAGGGATTAAGGAGGTCAGAAAGATACAGAGGAGAAGAACAAAGGACAGTGGAGTAAGAAAAGCAGGCAAACTCCTGGAAGCCAAGTGAGAAAGTATTTCAAGAGCAAAATGCTGCTTGGTCCAAATAAGAGTAGGTTGAAAACTAATCATTGAATTTATCAATGAAGAGGTAATTGGCGACTTTGACAAAAGCATTTTTGGTGAAATCATAGTGAGGTTTGAAGAAGAGGCAAAGACCTGATTGGCAGACATTCAAGAAAGAATACAAGAAGAGAAAAGACTACATACACAGTGATATAAGGAATTTTGGAAAAGCAAGAAATGGTCAGTTGCTGCAGGCAGAAGTGGGAGGTGAGAGTTTTGTTTTGCTTGATAAGAATGATTATATATAGAGAAGGGAAATTTCTGGAGTGATTTTCTTTATAGGTAGAGAAGGGGGGATCATCTGCATAAATAGACTAATTGTCTTTAGCTAGGGAAATAGATGGCTCATCTGTAATAATAGGATATAAAATAAATTATAAGGACTTGAGATTCAGGTAGGCGCGGTATTTGTGGTTGTAGGAGTCTGTAGGAGGTTGTGCCACGTTATTTATTGGAAGAGAAGATAGAAAAATGAGGTGTTAGGAGATTATGAGGAGAAGAGAAAGTATGAAATAATATATGTAGGTGATCAGGACACTGAATAATCCAGAGCAACATAGTATAATTACCATGAAGCATTAAGGACTCAGCTGAGATTATAATGAAGTTAAGTGAGAGTAGTAGGTGTCTTGGTGTGTTTACCTCTGGCTAAATGAAGCTGCAAGGGTGTGGGCCCAGGGTAGCAAAATTAAATTTAATCAGGTGTCATTTAGCCAGATAAATTCCGTGAAAGAGAAAAGGGCAAGGGGATTGCAGGTGGAATGGAAGCTGGATTGGGAGGAAAGAGATGACGTGCATTGGGTGGACAATGAAAGGATCAGTGGGT